AAGAGACGACCAAGTCGTTACAGATGGCCGGGATGTCTTCAAACCCAAACTCATCAAGAGAGAGAGGCTCGTCAGGCGTGGCTGTTGTCACACACCATTCTGCTGACTCGTTGGTCTGCGGCATTCGCGGTCGCACCCGTTCGAATGATAATGGTATGGCAGTGACACAATCCAGTAGGGGCGTCACGACCACGCCATGCGCGTGCATAACTGCGGTAATTATGAGATTACGGTCTCTAGAAAGACGTTTGAGAAAATGCATGGGCCATGTTCCTTCAAGCCGCAAAAAGAATTCCACAAAAGGGATCTGACGGATGTCAATCCACTCTTCGTCTTCGTCGGAGAAGCAAGAGCTTGCGGAGGCTGGCTGGCTGTTCGTCGTCAACATGCCATACTCATGGAGGTGGAGCAGCGCAGGCACCAGTTCCTCGGACTCTGGATCAAGGGGGCGAAGGTGATAAGGTGTGTGGACGTCTTGGATACCGGCTGCGCTTAGTTTGATAAACTCGGTATTCAAGTCGATTAAGGCATCCCAGTCTTTAGCCTTCTTCCATTTATCGATCCAGGTGGAATCTTCAAGCTTTTGTAGGTCCATCGGTCTCGGTATCAGGTGTAGTATGCTAAATGGGTGGCTGAACAAGTTGGGTAGATCTAGAACCAGTTCAAGGCAACAATAAAAGATCGATCGTCGGTTTGGGATGTTGAAGCTGGAGGGGGATAGGGGTGTTTCGGTGTGGAGATACAAGCAACCGCTCAGGTGAGTTTCTCAACGGTATGGGCAGGCTCTTATATACGGTTTCGGGCGCAAAGAACCTCAAAATTGCAGCAACCCATATTCAGCTGAACCCGGAGTCATTACTATAGTTGCAGTAAGGGCTGGGCAGCTCACGACGCAACCGGAATGAGGGCTGTCAGGCAGTTCAATTACGGCTTTCGGTTCATCGCTGGTCCATCAGCCATTCTGGCTCCAGTCGGCCAGCTGAGTTCCGTAGGTACTTATGTCTGGTCCCGTAGATGGGTACTGTGGTCAGCGAAAAGGGCTTCATCCCGTTTACAACTCTTTGATCTCTCTCCGCACGGACGTCTGCCCTCTTGGCACCATCACAGTACGATTTAACACTGCTGTACAGACCCACCAAGGGGCCCTGCTGACAGAATTTGCCCCACCTGACCCAAGTGTCTGGAAAATGGATTATGCACAGCATTATTCGCTCCATATTCTCTGCTTCTGCTGCTCAATTGCTTACAGCCTGCTTATTTCACGTGATGCTTTTGGTATCTCCTTTCTTTCTCCAGTACGGTCTCATACACAGAACTGCCATTATCTCTCTCTATGAAGTGCATCTACTTGGGTTCCTGCTTGGTCCACAAGATTTTCCAGATCCGATACCTAGGATAAAAATTCACAATGCATTTCGATCAGATGCCAAAACAAAGCTGGCACTGTAGTCTGATGGAAACCCCCGATGGTTGATTCAATTCGCAAAGTGACAGACGTAACAGACTCTGACTTGACCACATTCAAAAGCTAACGCCAGTTGTGGCTCTCTGGATGGATGGAATCAGCAACATCCAAATTTTCTGACAGGTGTCGCTTAGCCAAGTGGGCCACTTGCCAACTGGGTCCTTGCATGACGAGGAGCCAAAAATCGCTCCCCTGTAATCAACGCTAGGGTCTGATTTTGCCGCACAGCCCGTTTTGGATTACCTGGCCCTGGCCAAGCTTATAAAAGTGGAAAACGGCCTTTGTCTTGTGGGTCGTCCCAAAGCTGACGGCCTTCATCCGAGTTGCATTCCATTTGGGGTGGAGATACTGTATCTCCGCCATAATCAGTTCTAGATATCTTGAAGAATCGCGATCATCAGCAACTTACGGTGTACTGAGCCAAATTCAGCTCGTCGAAAATGCCATACCTTACTATAAGGAATGGCTGGGCCAGGTCCCCTCGATGATTGGCGTGGGATTCATTGCGATCATGGACCTTCTCTGTTTCCTTTTCTCTGAGCACGTTCATCCAATTCGACATCATCAACTAGTCATTTGCCATCATGTCTGGAAACCAGCTCTCCGATCGACGTACTCGAAGCCCCTCCGTGTTCGACCTTGATGAAACTGACGACTCAGACAATGGTATTTGTTCCCGTCAGAGCAGGTCGGTCGTCAACCACGATGATGATATGTCGACAAGTCGGCTTTCCGAGCCTCCCGACGAAGAATACAACGATCCACAGCCCACTCATGTCGCTTACTCAGTTGAGTGGAAGTTGACCGCCAACAACCGAATGGTCACTAAGGACTCCGAACAAAATATCGTTGTCCCGCCTGATGTCTTCTGGAGGACACGCTTGAGAGCAAAGCTGAAGGACGTGCTCGACAGAAAGCTGCCATCAACGAAGACTTTTGAAGCCGTGGACACAGACGTCGTCGTGTCCGTCACCGATCGCTCACAGCGCGACCTTGTCAAACGATTTGATGAGCTTGATATTGACTGGTCGATGCTGGAGGCACAACTGCAGACGTGGAGTCATTTGACTCGCGTCGGAAAAAGTCTCAGAATCGACTTCTCCTTCAACTACAAGCAGACACGTCTATCTAGCGACAGGTCGACTCGACAACACAACAAGCGTGGACGCCCATCCGTCTCTGATCAGATGCTGTCCGACCGAGACTTGCAACTGAGTGTTGAGCAGTCCAGCACTGGCCTGCCGTCGGTCTGGCCAGACGTGTACAATCTGATGCGATGCACCGGACCTCCTTGTCGCGCCGGGCCCTACTGCTTGCGCGATACGGCAACCAACAGACACTATCGAATGAAGACACACCATCTGAAAACGCTTGTTGAGTATGTAGAACAGGGCGGCATCCTCCAGAGTCATGATGATGTACCCGACTTTCTTCGACATCAGCTATATGCTGAAGAACGTCAACACCGAGAACGTCAACGCAGGCGGACGACGTCGTCTACAGCTGACGACCGGACCGACCAAGCCAATGACCTCGTCTCGCCATCGGCTTCGACGTTTGCGGAAACCGTGCTGTCCAGTCTTCCCAGCTGTCTCGACATACCAGGACTACGCGACGATGCTTTGAGAGAGTATAGCGACTGGCAATGCTCCAAGGTTCGCGGTGAGGATCTCAAGATGGACTTTAGGAAGGCCTGCGACCTAGCTCTCAAGGACGGACTCGACCTTGAACTGATACACAAAGACCCGGACACTGAGGTCTTCATTAAGGGAGGTGTGAGAAGGGGAATTGCAATGAGATTCGTTGGTGACGTCGAGGACTGGGTCAAACGCTACAGCCACGACTAGATCTTAGCCCTCTACGCCGGACGACCCTGCACATCATTACGGTTCCTCAATCCTATGTCCAGCATTCCGGAAATGGCCCTCTGCACTCGACCTCCTAGCCCCAACAACGTCAACACACCACTGTAGAAATTTTCCAAAATCTTGGTAGGGGAGGTCTTCGTACTCTGGCCATGTCCGTTTGAGAAATGCTTTTAGCTCCGCGAAAAACTCCTCGATCGGGTTCAAGTCAGGCGAATAAGGCGGGAGATAGATGAGCTTGACCCCCGCGTCCAAGCACATCTGCTTGATCCTGTCCGAGTGGTGGATAGAGGCATTGTCCATGACAAGAACCGACTTCGGCTCCGGCCATCTTCCGCAGTGGCAAAGTAGTTGCGCAATAAAGTCCTCGAACATGGCAGTATCGGTAGTTCCTTGAAACAAGCGTGACAATACAATACCGTCTTGGGCGTAGGCAGGCAAGATCTGATGTCTGCGTTCACGGCGAAACCGCGCTTTTTGGACCGGGGCCACTCCCCGCGGCGACCACCCGGTGCGCCTGAAGCCAGCTCGCTTGTCACATCCAGACTCGTCAATGTATACCAGGTGATAGGACTGAAAGTCGGATAGGTTGTGCAAGTAATAATCGCGCAGTTCGTCATTCTGCTGCTTGGCCACCTGACGGATCTTTTTCTTCGACCAGCCTGCCGCCTTCAAAGCCCGACCGATGGCCCACGTCGTAACGGGAACCTCGAACCTCTTCCATAAGAAAGTTACCATTTCGTCCTGGTACCAATACGGCTTTTCAATTAGTTGAGAAAGCAGTGCATCGAGCATAGGTTGTGTGACGGACCGCGGGCGGCCGACGGCGTTTGGCGGGGCTTTCGTCGTTCCAAAGCATCGGAGGTTGGATCTGATGTGGCTGATGGTGCGAGTGCTGCACCCAACGAAGCGAGCCATCTGGGCATTGCTGAGCGACTTACTAAGAATCATATCACGGATGAAGAAATGCTGCGAGACTGCAAGGTTGGGCGCCATCTTGGGATCCCAGCTTGTGCAATGATGGTTGAGTTGGAAAAGTGCATGGTGCTGCTGTTTTTCGTAGATTGACAACCTGAGAATACTGTACGAGCTGGGCTTCTAGAATGTTCCAATGCATCCTTGTTTTTCTTCGTTCGCTTTGTGACGCTGTGGAGACGGATTCGTACTAGCGCGGTCCGACGGATGAGTAACACTTGTTCTGTTCCGTTTCTAGTCACCTAGTGTACTGCTAGCGCCTGTCATGCTCGTCCTACTTTCGCAGTGATTGAAAACCCTAAATGCAACTAGTCCGAGCGGCATCCACAAGCGACAGGTTTCCAATTATCACCAAGATTCAATCTTGATCCTATGGCGGCGTGACGAGAAGCAAGATGTGCAGCATCACATTGTCACTGACTGACAATCTCGCTGACATACTCCGTGGACTTGGTAATCCCTGTCATCACTATGATTCGCCAGCGATGCGTCGCTCAGCCGCACAAGGCTGCTTGCTTGGATTTTGACCCCTCCTTTCCGTCAGGATGGAGAACGACAATCTCCTCCTTCAAACTTCCCAGCTCTCGCCAGCAGAGCATGAATAGGTTTGCGCGGCACAGCGCCACATTATAACGATAACATGATCAGATGCGCTTTGATCGGGAACGACGACTACCTGCCTTCGACAAATTGCGATGTCCAGCTACCCTCGACCCCGCCGTTTCGAAGACTTCCGCATCGCCGTGATATGCGCACTGGCCCTTGAGTACGATGCCGCCATCTTCGCTTTCGATGAGATGTGGAACGACGACGGAGATGGGAGCGGGTCCGCGCTCAGGCAACACAACAATCATATGCTGGGGCGGATTGGAGCCCATAATGTTGTTTTGGCCCTCCTCCCCAACATGGGAAAGGTCAGCGCAGCTAACGAGGTAGTGCGGCTCCGGTCCATTTATCCTGTGCTAGAGCTGGCCTTCTTGACCGGTATCTGCGGGGGAGTGCCTAGCCCAGGGACGGATAAGGAGATACTGCTTGGGGATGTGGTGATCGGCAAAAGCATCGTGCAATATGACCTTGGCCGACAGTATCCCGCCAAGTTTAGCAGGAAAGATACTGTTGACGACAACCTTAGCCGACTCAACAAAGACGTCCGTTCTTTTCTCGCCACCTACGAGACGCAACATGGTCGGAACGATTTGCAGCGACGGATGACCAAGATCCTAGCTGAAGTCCAACAATCTTCCACCACTGCACAAGGCCGAAACGACTACGACCGTCCTGCGGCTGGAGAGGACATACTCTTCAAGCCGGACTATCTTCACAGACACCGAGATCAGCGAGGCTGTGGGTGTAATGAATCCACTGCATGTGACAGAGCAATCAAAGCGTCGTGCGAGGAGCTTGGATGCGACGTCCGACATCAAATGCTGAGGAAACGCCTGGAGTCTAAGAAGCCAGAGACGCGTATACACATCGGGCGTATCGGTTCGGGTGACACAGTGATGAAATCAGGCGGGCACAGGGATCGGGTAGCGGCAGGGGATGGTATCATTGCCTTTGAGATGGAAGGGGCGGGTGTCTGGGAGGAGATGCCGTGCATCATCGTCAAGGGGGTATGTGACTACGCCGACAGCCACAAAAACAAGTCATGGCAAGGCTTTGCAGCTGCAATGGCGGCCTCGACGACGAAGGCGCTTGTGGTGCGTTACACGTCCAGGATTACCAAGACAGGCTGTAGGTGATCGAGCTTAGAAGCCCTCAACTTCGCTAACGATCGATGGCAGATACCAGTTCATTTGAATCTGCTCTCGCCATGTTTACGCTTGCCCCTATCTTGTCAGGCGCTGCTGGGGTGAATCACTTCGTTGGCCGAGGTGACGAGCTTAGACGTCTGCATGAGACGCTGAGATGGACGGGCGAGCGCCGCACCGCCGTGCTGCACGGTCTAGGTGGCATGGGAAAAACTCAGTTGTCGATAGAGTACACGAAGCGGCACCGTAGTGACTACTCGGCTATACTTTGGCTCAACGCAAGAGACGAAACATCACTAAAGCAAAGCTTTCGACAGGCGGCCCGGCGAATCTTACGGGAGCACCCGACTGTGTCGTATGTACAGAATGCCATGGTCAATCAGGACCTCGACGGGACAACGGAAGCAGTGAAGCGATGGCTGGATGAAGCGAGGAACGACCGCTGGCTTGTCATCTACGATAATTATGATGACGTCAGATTGGATCGCCGCTACGGTATGGATCAGAGTGTCCGATGTGTCGCCGAGCAGAGTGGGACCGCCGCCGGCAACACAAGCCAACCCGAGGCAGCAAATACGAAGGCGTACGATATCCGTCCATACTTCCCCGAAACAAACCACGGCGCCGTCGTCATCACGACCCGGTCCTCGACGGTGAAACTTGGGCAGTTGATCCGACTGAGTAAACTAGGGGACATCAATGACAGCTTAGCGATACTAGAATCAACATCTAATCGTGTCAATCTAAGCCAAGGTAAGTCAATTGATTTAGTACCACAGAGGATTAAGTCATTACACAGATGTCAATGCCAACGTGCTTGCGCGACGACTCGACGGTCTTCCGCTTGCTCTCTCGACAGCTGGAGCTTACCTTAACCAAGTTTCGACGACCTGCGCCGAGTACCTCCAACTGTATGACGAATCATGGCTGCGATTACAGAGAGAGAGTCCGCAACTTTTGGATTACGATCAAGCGTTGTATTCTACATGGGGAGTCTCCTTTAACCACATTCAGCAGCAGAGCAGAGGCGCAGCTATGCTCCTTCGACTGTGGGCATACTTCGACAACGAGGACCTGTGGTTTGAGCTGCTGCAGGAGGCAGGGGCAAAGGGGCCGGACTGGCTACAAGACATAACGGAAGACAAGTTCAACTTCAACGCAACAATCAGAGTCCTTTGCGAACATGGACTAGTAGAGGCCGACCCTCCCACAAAAGAGACTGGGATAGACTCACGAGGATATAGTGTGCATGGATGTGTACACGCGTGGATGATACACGTGCTGAATACTGGAGTAGATGAGGAGATGTCTTGGACAGCGATGAGATGTGTAGCATCGCATGTCCCAGGCAATGAGCAGAAGGAGTATTGGATGGTACAACGACGACTTTTGCAACATGCAGACCGATGCATCAATAGGACAACGACAGATACGGGGGAGGACGAAGATGCATGGGTGTTTCACGGGCTAGGCAACCTCTACAAGGACCAGGGCCGACTCAAGGAAGCCGAGGCGATGTACGAGCGGGCTCTTCAAGGCACAGAGAAGGCATGGGGGCCAGAGCACACGTCAACACTCTCGACGGTCAACAATCTAGGCCTTCTCTACAAGAGCCAGGGCCGACTCAAGGAAGCCGAGGCGATGTACGAGCGGGCTCTTCAAGGCAAAGAGAAGGCATGGGGGCCAGAGCACACGTCAATACTCTCGACGGTTAACAATCTAGGCCTTCTCTACGCGGACCAGGGCCGACTCAAGGAAGCCGAGGCGATGTACGAGCGGGCTCTTCAAGGCACAGAGAAGGCATGGGGGCCAGAGCACACGTCAACACTCTCGACGGTCAACAATCTAGGCCTTCTCTACAAGAGCCAGGGCCGACTCAAGGAAGCCGAGGCGATGTACGAGCGGGCTCTTCAAGGCAAAGAGAAGGCACTAGGGCCAGAGCACACGTCAACACTCATGACGGTCGACAATCTAGGCCTTCTCTACGCGGACCAGGGCCGACTCAAGGAAGCCGAGGCGATGTACCAGCGGGCTCTTCAAGGCTTTGAGAAGGCATGGGGGCCAGAGCACACGTCAACACTCATGACGGTCAACAATCTAGGCAACCTCTACGCGGACCAGGGCCGACTCAAGGAAGCCGAGGCGATGTACCAGCGGGCTCTTCAAGGCTACGAGAAGGCACTGGGACCAGACGCCATAAAGACATACATTCCCGCCTTGAACACACTTCAGAACCTTGGTTCTTTTTTTGAGAAGCTTGGCGAAAATAGTAAAGCCATCTCATACTACCAACAGGCACAGAACGGCTTTCTATCCGTACTGGGGTCCCAGAACGAGCGGTATACATATGTATCTGATAAAATCGGCTCATTACAGCTTTCCGCACAAGATGTGGATATTGCGCCTAGCGTAGAGAAGTCAGGACGAGGGCTTCATGCTAGATGGAAGAGATTGACGGGACACTTGAAGGGGCCGTAGAACCGCTTCAGACTATTACACATATTTAGTACAGTACTGTAGAGCCATATGTATCAAATCAGTGCTTAGCTAGGTCCCGCCCTTTCCCCCCGACCAGTATTCACGGATCATACTCCCCTGCATTACGTGCATTAATTACAGCAGATCCTCTGCACAAGTGGATTTTTTGACATTAGCAGCTCAAAGAGAAGTGCAAGTGGGGCCAGCCTGTTTGGGCTGTTGGATGTATTTCCAATGATAAGATAACAAACCGCACTGTGTAAGCGCCAAGAAGGTTACATGTCCGTGCGGAAAGAGATCAGAGAGTTGAGAATGGGATGAAGCCCATTTCGCTGACCACAGTAAGGCCACCACAGTAATCTCGCTGAATATACCTAGATTCGGGGATCTCAGCTTATTATCATATTTTGTTGTTGCTGTTGAGAGTCAGTCGGGTGTTTTGCGAAAGGGGTGGTATTGAGACGCGTGGCGCGACACTAGTGGACCCACTTTCGGCGCGTCCCGTCGTGAAACATGCAGGCGGAGTCGGACACCATCAACGTCGCGTCCGACTCGGGGGAGGCCAGCGGAACGGAACGGCCACCGCGACGGATACGCAAACCGACGACCAAAGTCCGACTGAACGAAGGAAACAAAGAGATTGCCGACAATGGAAGCGCAGAGGCGAACGATCTCGGAGGAAATGGGGTGCGGAGGACTACCACCAGGGGCGCGTCAGCCGCGAGAGGAAGGACCAAGACGACCGAGGACGACGACAGAACCCTGCTGCTGGACATGGGAAAGCAGATGAGGGAGCTTCACGCATCCCTCCAGGTGGTTTTCAATGCATGGAAGAAATCAGAACTGCGCAACAAGGACATCCAGGCCGAGCTTCGACAAGTCACGGACGAACTTCGGACGGCGAACGAGGAACTCGGGTCAATCAAAGACGAGTTGCAGACGGTCCGCGACGACCTGCAGGCGTTAAAGCAGCAAGTGGAAGACGATAACACGAAGACACGCGAAAAGATCGAGGCTTTTGCGACTCAGGCTTCGGCGCAAAGCGGCCCCAGTCCGTCCTACGCCGCCGTCGCCCGAATCCCCTCAACCAACCAAACCAGCGATGCACGGACCCGTACGTCCGGCGTGAACCCGACCAACGTGGCTGACACTCTGTACTGCACGATCGATACCTCACGAGTTGAAGCAGAAGATGACAACAAGCCCAACGCGGGCGCGATCAGGGCGGCAGTGGAAAAGGAGATGCGAGCGGACGGCCATACGGGATGGCGGTGTCAGGCCGTCACCGTGAACCCAAGAAACGAGAATCTCATCAGAATCGTCTGCCGAGGCGACGCGGAGCACCAAATGGTCAAGCAAATCGCGCAGACGAAGATTGCCCCAGGCATGCGCGTCCGAGACGACGATCTGTATCCGATCAAGGTAGACTTTGTGCGATGGTCGGCGGTGTGGGAGGAGAAAGGAAAGTACAGAAGTGAAGCGGCAGAGGAGTTCAGCAAGGAAAACGACACCACCGTCGCCAAAATCGTATGGTTAAGCGACCAAGAAAACCCGAAACAGTACGGATCGATGGCGGTCTACTTGACCAAAGCTAGTGACGCCAGAAGGCTCATCTCAGAGGGCTATTTCCACGCCAGTGGAGAGTCTGGAAATACGGGAGTGTTCAAGCCCCAGTCTCGGACACATCAGTGCTTCAAATGTCAGCAGATCGTCCGGCATAAGGCAGAGAAATGCGAGAACAGCCTAGTATGTGGGCGGTGCGCCCAGGAGGGCCATCACCACAAGGAGTGCCGCGAAACAGTCCTGAAGTGTGTTCCCTGCGGAGGTCCGCACGAATCCTTCAGCAAGAAGTGTCCGAAGCTCTACCCATCTCTCCATGAGTAGAAACCTTCAGACCCTTCAACTGAATGTAAGGAAACAGGATGCAGTGCACGAAAGCCTGATGAACGATGAGCAACTGCGAGACTTCACAGTCATAGCGGTGCAGGAACCATGGGTGTGGAAGAGAGAGGGCAAGATCTTGACGGTGCCGATGCGGCACAGCAGGTGGACCAGGATGGTTCCGACGGCGTGGAGGGAAGAAGGACGATGGGGGATCAGGAGCATGTTGTGGGTCAACAAGGAGATCGAAGCGGAGCAGGTGCCGATACCGTCACCTGACATGACGGGAGCCATTCTTCGACTCTCGGGTCGCCGAGTGCTGGTTGTGTCGGTGTACGTTCCGGGACAGGAGCCCGAGATGCTCCGTCGCACGTGTTGCATGTTACGGCAAGCAATCGCGGACGTCAGGAGTGGCGCGGGCGAGGTGGTGGATGTGGTCTTTGTGGGAGACTTCAACCGACACGACCAACTATGGGGAGGGGACGACATCTCGGCGAGCAGGCAGGGAGAGGCAGACCCGATCATCGACTTGATGAGTGACCTCTCCCTCTGTAGCCTCTTGCCGAGGGGGACGAAGACGTGGCAGAAGAACGACGCAGCAACAACGATTGACCTGGCCATCGCGTCGGAGGAGCTGACACGGATGATGATAAGATGTATTGTGCACGGGACAGACCACGGATCGGACCATCGGGCGATTGAGACTATGTTCGAGATTGCGACTCCGGGCGTGGACGGCAAGCCTCGACTTTTGTTCAAGAACGCCCCATGGAAGGCGATCAATGCCAGGATTGAGACAGCAATGCAATGCATCCCTATGGGAGGCACTGTGCAGCAACAGACGGACCGGCTCATGTCGGTAGTATCGGAAGCGGTTGAGGCCCTGACGCCCACAGCCAAGCCGTCTAGGTATGCGAAGAGGTGGTGGACGGAGGACCTCACTCAGCTCCGTCGGATCCACACAGTCTGGAGGAACCGGGCGAGGGCAGAGAGACGGGCTGGCCACTGCCCACCGGATCTGGAGGAGCGAGCCCAAGCCGCGGCGAAGCAGTATCACGACGCCATCCGACAACAAAAGAAGAAGCACTGGCACGAGTTTCTGGCCAACGATACGAACATCTGGAAGGCAGCCAAGTATCTATGCGCCGACAAAGGCGCCTCTTTTGACAAAATTCCTCAGCTTACTAGGGCGGACGGCTCAAAGACGGAAGAAAACGGAGAACAGGCAGAAGAACTACTATCTACCTTCTTCCCTCCGCTCCCGAACAACATCGAAGACGAGGGGCAGCGTCCACAGCGGTCGCCTGTACCCTTCCCCGAGATCACGTTGGAAGAGGTGGAGAGACAGCTGTTTGCAGCGAAATCGTGGAAGGCGCCCGGAGAGGACGGGTTGCCAGTAGCCGTGTGGAAGCAGACGTGGCCCGCAGTGAAGCATCGGGTTCTCGCTCTGTTCCGAGCTTCGATGAACGAGGGAGAACTGCCTAGGCAATGGAGACATGCGAAGATCATCCCGCTGAAGAAACCGAACAAGAACGACTACACCATCGCGAAGGCCTGGCGACCGATCTCGCTGTTGTCGACGCTGGGGAAAGTGCTGGAATCGGTGATAGCCGAGAGGATATCGCATGCTGTCGAAACATACGGGCTCCTGCCCACGAGTCACTTCGGGGCTCGGAAGCAGCGATCGGCAGAGCAGGCGCTGGTTCTGCTTCAGGACTACATCTACAGAGCATGGAGGAGGAGGAAAATCCTCAGTCTGGTCAGTTTCGACGTCAAAGGCGCGTACAACGGAGTGTATAAAGAAAGACTACTTCAGAGGCTCAGGGCGAGGGGAATCCCGGAAAAGCTGGTGGCGTGGGTGGATGCGTTCTGTTCGCAACGGACAGCAAGCATTCAGGTCAACGGCCAGGACTCGGAGGTTCGCTCTCTGCCCCAAGCGGGCCTACCTCAGGGTTCGCCGCTGTCCCCTGTTCTGTTTCTGTTCTTCAACGCCGACTTGGTCCAGCACCAAATCAACGAAAATGGAGGTGCACTAGCATTCGTAGACGACTATACGGCATGGGTCACCGGACCATCACGAGAGGCGAACCGACAGGGGGTCCAGGCCATCATCGACCGAGCCCTCGACTGGGAGCGACGAAGCGGAGCGACCTTCGAGACAGACAAGACAGCCATTATACACTTTACACGGAACTGGCGCCAGCCAGAGGACTGGTCCCCTTTCAGTATCAAGGGGGACATCGTCCGGCCCAAAGACCAGGTAAAGATTCTAGGCGTGATCATGGACACCAAGCTCCGCTTCAAGCAACACGTGGCAGAAGCGGCATCGAAGGGCCTCGAAGCCGTGCTGGAGCTCAGACGACTCAAGGGCTTGTCACCGTCAACGGCGAGACAGCTCTTCGTGGCGGCGGTGGCCCCCACGATGGACTACGCATCGACCGTCTGGAAACACACGTGTAACGCAGCCCAGATGAAGGTCATCAACAGGGTGCAGAGGATCGGGGCTCAAGCAGTTGTGGGAACCTTCAACTCGGTGGCTACAGCGGTTGCCGAAGCAGAAGCAAGCATACAGTCAGCCCAGGAACGATTCGAAAGGAAAGCGATCAAATTCTGGGTGCGTCTCCGGACATTACCGAACAATCATCCGCTGCGACATATCAGAGTCAATACCTTCAAGAGGCACATCTCGCCTTTCCAGACGATGGCCGCGGCCTACCGTGACTTGTCCCTGGACAGACTGGAGACCATCAACGCGTTTTCGCTGTCACCATGGGAGAACCGAGTGCAGACGGTGGTTGAAGACGATGGAGACAAGGCAAGCGCAGCGATTAAGACAGGCTGGGCCGCAAAGATCGCGACAGCTAGTTCGGCAAGAAATGGAGTCGTGGGCTTCGGGAGAGCACTGCATCTCCCTAAGTCACACACGGGAGGCGGCTTCACGACAACGGAATCATGCACAGTCGGTCTCAGGACGGAGCAGAACCCGTTCACGGCAGAGCTTCAGGCGATGGCGACGGCAGTAGAGTCCCTCTCGGAGAGGATCCGTCACCTTGTCATATACTTGTTTGCCAGCAGCAAAGCCGCCGTGCTAGCAGTAAGCAGACCCCGACAGCAATCAGGCCAGCAAGAGATCCGTCGTATCTACGAGGCTATCAGTGTCCTACAAAACAGAGGCAACAGAGTGTCACTATTCTGGCTCCCGGCTGGGGTAAAGTCGAAGCTCGTCAAGGAGGCCAAGGCAGCGGCAAAGGAGAGTACCCAACAAGGGAAAACACCTAGGAAGAAGCCAGCCAGGGCTTTCTCAACCACGCTTAGGAACGCGTTACAGAGGGTACAGGAGACGAACCCCGGAATACCAGAGTGGGTCGGAAAGTTCTCAAAGAGAGTCGACTCGGCTCTGCCAGGAAAGCACACACGGCAACTGTACGATTCATTTTCATGGAAGCAGGCCAGCACACTGGCCCAGCTGCGGACGGGGATGGCAAGGCTCAACTGGTACCTGCACCAGATCAGGGCGGCCGCCTCGGATCAATGTGCATGCGGACAAGCAACAGAGACGGTTGAGCATTTTCTCTTCCGGTGCACCCAATGGACAGCACAACGCGCACCGATGATCCAACGGACTGATACGCACAGAGGTAACCTGTCATTTTACTTAGGCGGAAAGGCCGCATCAGACCCTGACGACTGGTCACCATGCATGGATGTCGTAAGAGAGACAGTGAAGTTTGCCATGGCAACGGGACGACTCGATATGCAGGTCAACCAAACATAGGACAGGAACAGCATAACATCACATCACTAACATTAACCACCGACTAACCCCATACGCACCCTCGTGCCACCGACAGCAGGGCTCGCTTCAGCCGCCGAAGATAGGGACCTGAACACTTGGAGGAAGTGCTCCAAGATGGCCTGCTACTAACCTCACGAGAAATTGCAATCATCGGAAGGCGTAATCAAAGATGACGCAGACGGAAGTGGATTTCATACACGGGGCTTATTTTGAGACTAGGGTAAAAACTCAACAAGGGAAGCATGTAAGACACATAGACGTTAGAGCCCTTTATGGCTTAGCCAGGGCGTAATAAACTCAGTGAGTGAGTAATCTCGCTCCAAACTCAGCCGGTTGAAGGGAGCTGGAAATGGATTTTGCGGCATTCTAAGTAGCGCCTAATTTAAGCCGAATCCATCTCTTTTCGACATAGGAGATAGAGTGATCGGTAATGTCCTTGGTGTGTACTGTACAGTAGCTTACATTATATACAATTAGTGCGCAGGCTGTGACATAGTTCTCCGAATACTATGTTCATCATCCCAATGTCCTCGGAGTATGCCTTGCTGACTGGACCTCGATCGCTTGATTTCTGTGCCGACTTGCTGGAATCTTTCGCCTCTGGCTTCCATCTTCGCTTGTTCGGCACCAGCTGAGCCAACGGACCTCGGGGTGGCTCCAGCAGCAGCGCTCTTTCAAAGTCGATCATCATAACCCCGTTGATCTCCGCATTGAACAGCATGTTTGCCGTCCGTACATCCTTGTGGACTACGCCCTGTTGATGTATTGCGCGCAACGACCGCATCGCCTTCCCTTCGAGCTGTTCACCCCCGCCACCCACAACCCCTGTTGATTCAAGGTCATATCCTCCCCACGACAGAAATGTCATGTGTACCACATACACTCGGTGGTCATAGTAATAAATCCTGTCCATCGATCGGAGGTCGATGGCCCCGAGGAACACGGGCACATGAGTACCTTGGACCGCCTGCAGACGTTTGTAAACCGCCGCCTCGTGCTCAAGGTCTTTGGCAAATACCACACCGCCTTTGCTTCGCCTCAGTCCTCGTTGTACGATCAGCCTGTGATCTCCTCAAATCTCGGGAAGACAAAATGGCCTTGAATTAAAGCATGCCATTACTGAAGGGCCTCTTTCCAAGGAGGGAGAAGCTGGTCCCGGATTGGCTTTCGAAGTCAGTCAGCGGTCAGGGGTCCTGCTCAGCACAGGTCCTACGGCAGAATATCGCAAGGGTACCTGACTTGCCCTTGCCGCAAAGACATTGATGTAGTCCTGGGTGGTTCAAGTGGTCGTGGTAGGCTAAGAAGCTTCCACGCCCTGGGCGAGTAGGAAGAAGCCAGTTTACAAGGAACGAGCTTTTTGTGGCTTTAGTTTCACTATAACTGCCGGCAAGCATTGTCGTCCGCATTACCTGATGCTGCTGGGTGGTCTGTGGTAGGGTATATGCATTTACTACGACTTAAATACAATGAGCATCCAATAAAGCAAGCATCCGGCACAGGCCGATATGAGTCATAATTTACTAAAGGGCAAGAAGATGGCGAAACAGGCTCTATATTGGACAGTTTGACAAACATCAAAACATATCGTAGGAAAGAGGAACTCTATGAGTCGGCATTATGTTGAGCGTGAATTCCGTAAATTGCCAGAGTCTCGTTAACATTATTTTCTCGCAGGCGATTTGCATAGTAACGTATATCTTAAACATTATCATCGCACGAAGAATTTTTTCTCGCAACTCTTGACGAGCTCTTGTCGGATACTGGTGTTGGCGATCGACGCCGAAGCACGTAGATGGAATTCTACATAATGACGTTCCGCTTACAGTGTACTCTGGTAACTCAGGCCGCGATTTGCACGAGTCAAAGGAAGATGTGAAGACCACAAAGCTCAATATGGAAGCCTTGCGGGGAGCATACCCAGTGTGTCCAACAACCAAGTAAAGCAAAATTTGGACCCTTTACTTGACTTGGTCGACCGAACCCTTTGCTTGACTTGGTTTACTCGGTAGCAGCGGCTTGCTTTGCTTGCTTGGTTGACGTTACTCGGCTATTTTCCATTCCCTGCCCGGCTCTGGTCGTAGGTCTATGCTACCATTCCGCTTCGAAGCAGGTGCTTCTGGCATTCAATCGCTGCTACAGTGTCCGAACTGAGCCGATTCCGTTCATCTGTAATGACCTTCTTGGTCTGTGAAAAGACACTCTCATACTCAGCGCTCATTGCTGGGCAACTGAACAAGTCAAACGCCATCTTCGACAGCACAGGGTAGTCAGGTGCATGGTGAACCCACCACTCCAGAGGGTCCTCAACATCCGGGTCTGCCTTATTGGTCCTAGCCATAAATTCATCCAGCTCAGACGTCAGTCTTGCCCGCTTCTTTCCTTGTGCAGCCGATCCCATAGTGGCAGAAAGTCTTTGACGGCGCCTGCGAGCTTGCTGGAGTAAATCAAGTATCGCATTGTCATGAGCAATGGCCTTCTCCTTTAGCTCCTCCAGGTCCAGTTCTTGCCGTGCTCCGTCCACATGTCACGAAACAGTTCCTTTAGCCCAAAGAAATCATTTAGCATACTGTATGATGGCTAATTCTAGCTTAAATCAGTCTAACTCTCCTCGTAACAGACGCCATGCCCCTAGCCGTGAAAGTGGCCTCTAGTTCGCAAAGAATATTCCTAAGCTCCTTGTCAGACCTCTACGCAGCCCATTTGAGGTGGGTACTTTGGTCATTCACTGGCAGGCAACATCATTGCGTTACATTTCCTGCCATTGCGGCCCAAAACAAGGGCGTTCGGCCGGAATCATCGCGTAAGTAGATGTCAGCGCAACCTGTACTAAGAAGCAGCTTGACAACTGTTTCGTTTCCATGCTCAATGCCCCATGATAGTGGCGTTCTACCGTCATTATCCTTCGAGTCGATTTCAACCTTGCCAGTGTCGAGGAGCATCTTGGCGACTGCTTCGCTTCCATGCTCAGCGGCCCATGATAGTGGCGTTCGGCCATCATTATCCTTCGAGTCGATGTCAACTTTGCCTGTCTTGAGGAGCATATTGATGACAGGTTCGTTTCCGTACCAAGCTGCATGCGATAGTGGCGTTCGGCCTTGATTATCTTTTGAATTGACATCCACATTTTCGGTGTCGAGGAGCATCTTGATGAGTGTTTTGTTTCTACTCATGGCGGCCCATGATAGCGGCGTTCGGCCGCAATTGTCTTTGGCGTTGATTTGAACCTTGCCAGTGTCGAGGAGCATCTTGACGACTGCTTCTTTTTCCTGCTCAGCGCCCCATAACAGTGGTGTTCGACCATAATCATCCTTTGAGTCGATCTCAACCTTGCCGGTGTCGAGCAGCATCTTGACGAATGCTTCGTTCCCATTCTCGGCGCCCCATGATAACGGCGTTCGGCCGTCATTATCCTTCGAGTCGATGTCAACCTTGCCAGTGTCGAGGAGCATCTTGATGACTGCCTCTTTTCCATTCTTGGCGGCCCATGATAGCGGCGTTCGGCCATCATTATCCTTCGAGTCGATGTCAACTTTGCCTGTCTTGAGGAGCATATTGATGACAGGTTCGTTTCCGTACCAAGCTGCATGCGATAGTGGCGTTCGGCCTTGATTATCTTTTGAGTCGACATCCACATTTTCGGTGTCGAGGAGCATCTTGATGAGTGTCTCGTTTTCACTCATGGCGGCCCATGATAGCGGCGTCTGGCCTTCATCATCCTTCGAGTTAACGTCGACTTTGCCGGTGTCGAGGAGCATCTTGACGACTACCTCCCTATTAAATGAGGCTGCCCAGAGAAGCGGGGTTCGGCCGTCATTATCCTTCGAGTCGGTTTCAACCTTGCCGGTCTCAAGGAGTACCTTGACTATCGTGTCGTACCCATTCATGGCGGCCCATGATAGTGATGTCTGGCCGTCCTTTGAGTTCATCTGAAACTTTTCTGTGCCAACGAGCATCTTATCTTTTGAGTTGACATTAACCATCTTGTGTTGAGGGTTATCTTGATAGGTTTGCAGATGTAGCTTATGTTGCTCTTATATACAGCAACCAGCTGGGTTGCGACGTACCTGATCAGCGTCAAATCTAGATGAACTGTGCCTAGAGATGATTTCGGACTTGCAACAGCAGACGTCAGATTCTGGTGTACATACAGTATGTACTGTACTGTACATTTTGCGTCAACACTCTGATGTCTTTCCGCACGAGCGTTTGGCATCTTGGCATTGGCACAGTCTGATCTGGCTCTGCGGTAACGGCCTACTTGAGCATTCACTGACTGTCACGGGATCGCGTGCCAGGGTGGTGTCAGGGGTATCACGAGTCATGGCTTCGCCATGACTCCTTTTCCAGCGGCGACGCGCCGCTCGCATAGCGCGACTTCTCTTTCTTCTTCGCGCTGCGTCTTGTATCTAGATCTGACCTTACGGGTCATCACAGTCTAATTGTTGCTTCTAAGCCTGCTCCGTGAAGCTGCGACCTTGACACTGACAAGGGTGACCCACACATAGGTTAGAGCAATCAATGGCTTTTGTGTCATCAACGCCAGGGGTCTAAAGCAGGTTGAAGGGCTAGTTTTGATTACCCAACATCTATTATTGGAGATAGAGATGTGTAGATCCACTCTAAGCTGACGTCCATCACGTCTACGATGTAGATACGTAAATCAAACAAAATAGCTGCACTGTGTAAGAGACATCAGAGAGTTGTGACTACAGCCGCATTCGAAACTGGTTTCATGCTTTGCACTTGAAAAACATTGTTTTCCCAGATATTTTGGTATCCACTTGCTGAGAAGGTACAGAACGACCCATTCAACGTACTTGTTGGAAAAATGATAATACTCCTATGTGTAATCCATAATCAGCTCTTTACTCTGCAAACAATGGGCCAAGTGTCCAGAATAGCTGCTACTGTCGGTATCTCTTTCTCTCTTGAAAGTATTGTGGAGACGTCCGCAGATACCGTGTCAGCAAGCAGGTCCATTATGGTCTCTTGGTTGGAAGCGCCAAAAGAGTAATATCGGAAACCGATTTCGGATCCAACTATACCGTAAACTTATAGAGCTGTGTGTTTATATGGCTACACTTAAATTTGATAGATTAGGCATTCCCTTGACCTTTTCCTCCTTCGATAGTGCAATTTAGTTCGTCATAACTAAGGTAAGGACTAACAAGCTTAACACTCCCCCAAAGGCGCGTTATTATAGTTTAAGCATAGGGCTATGCTGCGGCTACGCCCATATGATGGTAAGGAATACAGGAAAGGACTACCCGGGGGTGTTAGTCAGCGCAGCGGAGAGCTAAACACCCCCTCCTCACGGAGGAGGCGAAAAAAGGGGGGTCGCAGCAAGAAAAGGGGGGTCGCAGCCTGTCCCCACTTTGTCCTGACTTTTGTTATATTCTCACCAAAACAATCAATCATTCGGACATTTCATCGACAGATATCAACACTATCTAAACCAACCATCCCTATCCAACACAGTCAATATGCCCCGACCATGTGACAAGAATATGACTGCTGCTAAAAAGGCGGCCGAAGTGGTATTTGCTGCCCAGCAACGGGCTCAATTTGATCGGGCTGGCAAGCAGATATCTACTATATCTATCCGCGAGGTTGCCCGGCAGTATGGCGTATCTGATATGTCTATTCGCCGGCATCTTCGGACCCTTCGAGCTGGCCATAACCTTCGGGCGAGCCCGCCGGCTGCCCTTGGCCGGCCGCGCGCGCTAACCGCTGCCGAAGATGCTGCTCTTGCGGCCTTTGTTATATGGCTTGCAGAAGCTGGCTTTCCAGCCTTGCCGATACAGGTAGAGGAGACGGCCAACTATCTGCGTAACCTCCGCGCTATGCCTCCTGTATCGGAGCACTTTGTCCGTACCTGGCTTGCCGACCACCCAGAGCTTCAGAAGAAGGCTGCTATCAAGCCGGTTGAGATATACCGTAAGGGAGCAGAGCTGGACCCTGCCCCGATAGAGGACTTCTTCACGCGGTATCGGGCAACAGTCCGCGAGCATGATCTTGGCCCTTCAGAAATATGGAACGCCGATGAGTCAGGGTGCCGAATCGGCTGCCTCAGCAGCAGGATACACGTGATACTACTTCAGCGGCCGCCAAAATACAACCGCCTGCCAGAGGTTATCGATCCTGCGAATCGAGAGTCATGTACGTTAGTTGGATGTGGCAATGCTGCGGGCGACAGCATACCAGGATATCTGATCTTCAAAACGTGGCCAGTCACTGCTTGGGCAGATTATCAGATCCAAGAAGATGTCCGCTTTGCGCATTCGGCAACTGGCTTTTCGAACCAAGAGGTTATGATGGACTATATACGGCACTTCAATACTGAATCATACGCAAGGTCAGCTAAGTATCGCCGTATAGGCCACTCACTTGGGGACTATTTTGGCGTTGACGCATACGGTTGTAACGACTATAACCTATATCTGCCTAATGGTGAGCCAAGCGGAGTACGCCAACAATACCATAACTATCAGGATACTATCGAGAAATCAAAGCGGCCACATCGTCTGCTTCTGTTAGATGGGTTTACTGGCCACATCAGTATAGAGCTCATGGAGTATTGCATCAACTTCGACATTATCCTGGGTTTTTTTCCGCCTCATATAACGCACTTTCTTCAGCCGATGGATGTTGGGGTCTTCCAGCCATTCAAGAGTGCCCAGCAAAAGGTGCTTCGCAACCATATACGAGATGGCAACCTCACATTTACAAGGGGCGACTTTGTTGCTGCCCTTGCCGATATGACTAATACTGCCTTCACGGCTGCGAATATCATGAGAGGGTTCGAAAAATCAGGTATCTGGCCTATTAGAGACGATGTTATATTGGCCCAGTTAGTGAGGAGGATGCAGCAGAGCAAGGCTGATATACCATCCCACCTTATATGTTTTTTGCCACATGACGATCGCTTCAACAAGGCTATACTTACTGCCGACCATATAGAGGAGAAGTATGGCAGCCCATGGAGCACCCCTTCAAAAAAGGGATTCAAGGTGATCAAGGAAGTAATTAATGAGGGAGCTCTCAGCCATAAGTACCAACAAGGTCATATTAAAGACCGCAACGAGAGGCTAGCAACATGGCAACGAAGAAGCCAGGCCCGGCGAGCCGTCAAGCCAAGCCACTCATTTGTATCAAGCGTCACTTTTGATGATATAAAAGAGGCACGTGAGAAGCAAGTGACTGAGGCTATACAAGCAGAGCAACGGCGGCAGCGAGCAGCAGTCAAGAGGATGGCTCGCAGCCAAGAAAAGGAGGTCCGCCAACGATATAGTGCTTCGAAGTATCAGATAGTAGATGGGCGGATGAGGCGACTAACCTTTAAACAGTGGCTGCACCACCATACTGGAGAAGTTAATGCCTACATTCCGTTCAATACCTCAGATCCTCGTTGGCATGACGAGCCAAAGGAAAAATTCACTATCGACGTCAACCCTACCCCTTTACCGCAGCATATACTCGATCGATTCAAGTATACAGCAAGGCCCCTTAGTCAAGGCAATGTTAACCAAGCATTGGCTGATGCTGCTGCAGAGGCAGCTGGGCTAGACTTCGATCCCGAGATATTTGCAGACATAGATGATCCTATTGACGAAGACGTCGATAAGGCTGTATCCAGCGAAGAATCAGTCGGTACAGCTGGGGATGAAGATGATGACCTTGAAATGGCATTAGTGCTATCACTGCCAGCAACACCAACGCCAGCAACAACATCACAGGCACCATCACAATATAAGTCACGATACCACGCAATCAAGGATAGTATAGATACCTGGCGAAGCAGGGGCACAATGGAGGATAACCTACTTACCCCCCATCAACGCAGATTAAAAAGAAACGGCAACATATAGTGGATGATAGTGCTAGTGATAGCACTATTATAGTGGCGATTTGAAGTTTCAATTATCGTGCAAAAAGGGAAAGAAAAAAGGTACCGTTTTAAAGCCCTAGATTAGGGCTATTGATTCATACTACTCTTGTTATTATAAGACGTTGTGGTTGTTGTGACCTTTTGAATTAAAAAGTAGAGGTTTCTGTGTATAACAGGCAAAAGTGATGCTATTCGTGATGTGGGCTGCGACCCCCCTTTTTTCGCCCCTTACGTGAGTAAGGGGTTTTTAGCGCAGCAGCCTGATGACTAAAACCCCTGGGTAGTGGGAAGGTTCGTCTATACATAGGAAAACTACATAACACCACAAAAAACCTTTACCTCGATGCGCCATAAAATCCCGTCGCAGGCCCGTGAGAGTGAATCACCATCTATGACCAAAGTCTGAATGCCCTTGTGGATAGGTTTGGAGCCGCTTCAAGCGTCCACCAGAGAGCACAAACATCTTGACTTCGCCCGGGATCTGACCACGGGCACCAAACTCAGACCATGAAGATTCACTCTCGATGATATTATCAATGACTCTATAAATTTCCTAGTCGCCACTTCCACCGACGCAAACAATCACGTTGTTCTGCCAAGACTGGATCGCCAACGAGGCCGACGCGCGCAAGGTTACTCTGTACTGGGAGATTCGCTCGCGCTATGACATTCCGTCCGACGACGCCCCCTCGGAGCAGCAAGATTTGGATGACACTCCCCGACGCGGGCCACGACTCGAGAGCTCCTGGTGGCGACAAGGACGATACCGACGGCAACAACGATATCGACGACAAAGACAATTCCAACGACAACGATGACAATGTTATCTTTGTCACCGGCGATCTTATGGAACACGCTGCGGATTTTGACCTCATAAACTCACCTGATGACGCCGCCGGCTGGCTCAGGACCTGCCGCTTCTTCGATCATGACGAACGCCGTACGACCAAGCATCCGGGGCACTGCTGCCAGGTCTACAGCATGAAGCGGAAACTACGACCGATCAGCTCGACGACGTCCGGCGTGCGATCGAGCAGGCCACCACGGACGGACATCTCGGCGCCCTGCTTGCGCACCCCATGGGCGTCTGGAAGACCGTTACCTACCAGGCCGTGTTCGCGGTACGTCGACTAGCGTGCATCGACTAGCGTGCATCAGTCAACTGCACGCCGCAGCCCACCATGAGATGCCCGAGACGAGCCTCGCCGCTGTGCCCTGCGTGGCCGACCTGACGGTATCCAGTGCGCTTGCGAAACAGACGGCTTGACGGCTCGGTTCCTTCAGGAGTTCCCCGAAGGCGCGACGCTCATCTTGGTCCAAGCTCTGTCGCACCTCAGGCATACTTCAGTCGGATTGTCACGATTCATATGCCGTCAGACGACCCGAGCGAGCTCAACTCTTTCGAGACGTCCGAGTTCATCAAAATCGTTGACTGGAGAAACGTGGCAAGTGGTACACGCGTGGAGGTCGCAGCAGCGCGGGCCTCGTGTGCCTACAAAATGAAGCCAGGCTTACCCACCAAGACGCGGGTCGGGCGGCCATACGCGGAGTGGGAAGACGAGGGCCTGCAGCTTCTCCAAGACGCTGGTGTCGAGGTTAGAATGACGCCTCCGTCCGTGGACGCCACCATGCCTCCTCTGGTCGTCGGCCAACAGCGAGTGAGCATCGACAAGCTCTGGCGCGGGCTTTAGACCGAGATGGTGAGGCTGCCGATATCCAATGGCAAACAGGCGAGGGTCTGGGTTAGCGGCGCCTATTTCTTTGGCCTCATCGTCTGGGACGGAGCCCCCCTCATCCGCGGCTTGAACATGACTACCGTAATTGTCCTGCGGAAGATGCTGGAGCGGCAGCCGCGCTTGCCGATGGTGCTGCTGGCCACCGGGAGCCCGATCACCAGCGGTTTCAGGGACCTGGCGCTGATGCTCTCTATGATCCACATCCGGCTGGGGAAGCGGCAGGCTCTTGCTATCCGGGCTGATCTGGCCGACCTCGACACCAAAACGGCCAGTCTCTAGGAGGGAACCGGTGAATTTGTCGAAGGCGTCGGTGAGGAGAACGGCGCCCTCAACTGAGATATCATTGCGGATTGTGCCAGGTCGCTGGGACGCGACATCATCCAGAGGGGTAGCCATCGTCTAAAAACTGGTCATCTTTAGAAGCTGAAAGCGCACGAAGTAGTGCCAGCTTGAGATGTTCACAAACTTGACAGCAGGAACCAGCTCCTTTCGACTAGGTCTCACCTATCTCACCCTGTGGCGTGCGTGGTTTACATAGCATCTGAGCTTGGACAAGCCTAACAGGCCTACTTGGAAGGAAGAGACCTCTAGGCCAGACATCGCGTTTCAGAAAGAACCGGTGCAGGAACTAGAACCAAAAATGATCGAAACCACAAAACGGTCTCTGTTGCAAGAGATCTGGTGCTTAAAGACACCAAAGACAATACATCCAGGTTTTGGGGTGTTCATTGAATGCACTCAACTCTGATCATGAGCAATAGTTAAGGCTCTAACGGCATTAGGAAACAACACAAAAATCAGAATAGAAGCGTGAAGAAGGAAGGAAGTTGTCTAGGGGCTAGCAGCCGAGGCGAGATCAATGGGCTGAGGTCCTCCCTGTCGGCCGTAGCTATCCCGGGCCCGAATTGACCCGACCGGCCGAATCGAGCTGGATATTTGATATCCAGCGATATCCTATTTCGACAAGAGGCTCTCAAGATGGAACTGCAGCAGCGTCGAAAGTCGATTTTTGGGTCACGACTTGCCGATAAAACAATTGGGATCTGGAAGTGGACTCTGCAGACGGGGATGTAGCAGAGCAGCTAGAGTCGTTGTTGGATGGTGGACAACGCCTTCCATGAAAGGTCAGAACCTGTTCCTGCAGGAGCTGGACATGGATTGTGCAGATAGAACACATGGTAAAGCAAGAAAGCTACTCGCTACCTGACGGGGAAGGCCGTCGACCACAAGCCAGAAATGACTTCCGCGTCATAGTCGCAGGTGCGCTACAACTGGCTTTCCAGGCCATGGCTTCCTATTAACTGTATGTTAAGAGGAGCCGAAAATGGGTCTCTGCGGGGCCCATACACGGCACAGCAAGGTGCTCGCTATGTAGCTTGGATGACCCATCTGGGATCTTGGGAACCCAACAGGCTCTAAGCATGTTCCGGACTTCCAATACAGCAACTGGAAGCCAGATATGGACCTTGCAGTCACCATGAGTAGTAGAGGAAGAAAGCTCCTTGTTGCGTGGTTGGGAAGACCAGCCGGAACCGGTTCTCGGCAAGAGTTAGATATGGACGTGTAAACAGGGGAGGTAGTGGGATAAGGAAGACCCTTGTTATGTGGCTGAGGACGTGGCTGGGGACATGGCTGAGGACATCCTCCATCAAAGGCCAGAACCGGCACCTGGCTCATCGTTGCGGCGACGTTAGAACTGGATCTCTAGGTCTCGGCATCCATTTCTACACAACTGGCAAGAGCTTAGTCGCGTGGCTGGGCTGATCATCTCCCAAAGCTCCCAAAGCCGGAATCAAAAAGTGAGAAATGGCTTTCCAAAAGAACCGGATTTGGATCTTGCGAACAGGGGACATGACTCAGCAAGCACGATCCTTGTCGTGTGGCTGGGGACAATCTCGCTCCAAACTCAGCCGGTTGAAGGGAGCTGGAAATGGATATTGCGGACACCCTGAAAAGCGCCCGACAAGAGCCAGGTCCAACTTTTTCGACATGAAGTGGTCGGGAATGTCCATGGTGTGTGGCTGGGAGGACGGACCAAAACTGGCTTCTGGTAAGAGCCAGATACGGATGCTGAAGCCAGGGGATCTAGGTAAGGAAGCGAGATGCTGGCCGGGAGGGCCTTGCCCCAGTCGCTAGAAGCGACCAACAACGTGGTTGCAGCGGCGTTCAATGCCAGCTTCTGGATCTCGACTCTCCAATACAGTGGATGAAGCCAGAAACGGATCTTAAGAAAAGACCACATATCGGTAGGAGCTGGGTCTTTCTTACAGGCTTGGAGATTCTCACCCTCGAGAGTCGAATCCGGATTCTAGAAGGTGCTGTAACGGGCTGGGCCCGTATGAGGCCTTGCTGGACATCGCGGCCATGAGCGGCCCCTGGTCAGGCCCACCACGGAATCCACGACGCCGACAATCCGATGGCCAGTGCGATGTGGCCTTATCAGACCAGCGGTCAAGCAGAGATTGATAGTTTTCCCTTCTGATCCTCATCTGAGGATACTCGTAGTAGTCGCCATAGCCTGTTGCAAATATACACGCCTTGGACCGTTACAGGTGCCGGGTGTAGGTATTGCGGAGGGGCGATGTTCTGGTGCACGCAAGTTCCCTGTTGCGGGCTGGGGGTGCCTACTCCCCAAAGCCAGAAGAGGCTCTTGGTAGTGTAATTGCTCTAGGGTTAAAAGTTGATCTCAGGGCTCCCGGCCTTGAAAACCGTGGGATGAACTGGTAATGGATCCTGCAGACAGGGTATGCGGGTGGAAAGAATAAGTGGCTCTGAACAAGAGCTACTGCATGGCCGCCTTTTGGAACTAAGAACCGGACGGGAGATCCTGGCGAGACAGGTTAGTCCTTGAAAAGCGTAGGGGAGAGCAGCTTCTGTATCTGCAGAGACGTCACTGAATCGTCCACATCATTACTTCCTCACATGCTGCTTGGTCCGTGCGCAGGAGCCATTTCAGGAGCCATTTCAGGAGATTCTCCAAGTCTAGACTTTGGCTCAATGCAAACGCGGTACTGAGGTGGGTCGGGGCCCCCTGCAGTAATAATTCAATACTGCTTCCTGCAAGCATCATGTCGACGCATTAATATCCACCGCCTACTACAGTATGCAAGACTGCTGGCTTTGCAAACATGTGGCCCGGAGAGGCCCTATGTCGGGAACGGACAGGCCAGGGGCAATAATGAATACGTGGGCGCTGGATTGGCTAGTGACAACGATCGAGCCATTTTCAGCTTCCATTGTCCGGATCGAAATGCTTTACATGAAGGACAGTGCCAGAATCTGCTTTGCAATATAGTAGGAATAGTTGATGACGGAAGCTGGTGGACATGGGCACGGCTGACAGACTGCGAGGGATCCAACGCCGCCTTGCATAATACCGGACCGAAGCAACATCCTCTGCTGTGGATGTGCAGCGCAGGAAATGGACGAGGATCAAATTGATGAATTATACCATGTACGAAGCCTTACTTAAATAAGATTGTGCAATCTGCGCACACGTACTGTATAGTCATTACGTTCATCATCTTCCTCAGATGCTTCTCGTTGTCGGGGTGCACATTCTAAACTTCAGACCAAACTAGCAACCTTCCCAGTAATGACTTCCCCAATGGAAACCAAGATTCCCGTCTCATCCCATGGCAAGCACTCTGGTATGAATTTTCCGGCCCGTCTACTTGCTAATTCGACGCAGAGATTCCAGAGAGCGACCGTCTGAAGAGTCTGTACCCAACGGTCATCCTCGCATCTGCCGTTTCTGGCAGCACTACCATGATTACGTTGCTTGATAGATCGACAACAACCGCATCAGTTTTAAACAACATTTCAAACTGCCTCCTCGTCAGCTCAGTTATCACGGCAATCTTTACAGCAATGATTACAATCATGCTTTCCTTCGAATTCCAGAGCGGCCGTGAGCCCACACGGATGCGTCGAGCCATGGCATGGGTGCCGATCTTCTTTTTCGACTTTATGTTATTCGAGTTGGTCCTTGGTCTAGTTTTTTGGTTTACAGCTGGACATGCCTGGCAGTACGCCGCTCTTCTCGGCCTAGTATCCGGATCGTTTTTCATAATAACTGCAGCTGTAGCTGTGTGGATGACAGTGAAGACCAGCCCGTTGGGTTACCTGGGGAAACGATTGTAGACAGAGTCTGAGGACCGAGCATGTCACTTTTTCGATCAGCATCACAACCATCCAATCATCAAACCACCTGATAAAGGACGACATGCAGCATTGTACAGAATTATATTATGCAGTACTACAGACCCTACCAAGAAGCCGATAAAGCTTTTTCGTTAAAACTTTTCCGCCAATGCATTTTGATGCCGGACGAAGGCCAATTCCTTACACGCCGATATTAGGGCTATAGCAGGACAAGTAGGTAGCAGGTGAATACATTCAGCTCATAAGCAGAAGGTATCCTTTGTTCAAGATGATGTCATAAAACAAAAATAGTCTATGCAGCTAATTGCAGGAATCAAATAAGGTTGGAAGCAAGTACAGTATTAATACACAAACTAAGATGCTCTCATCGTTATAAGAGACTTCTGCCAAAAGTCTTGTTTTCAAGCGTGCCTTCGCACAAAGATTACCGTGAACTACTGAGCCGACTTTCTATTTCGCGTAATGTTGCCATGGTCCGAGCTTTCCACTCCTTCAAGTCCTTCTCTTCGTCATCTAACATCTTCTGGATACGCTTACTCCGTTCTTCTCTTCGTTTGTTCATCAGTCTCCGCTCATGGTACTCGCTTGTTAAGAACTTTCTCCTGTTTGTGATGCCGTTATGCTTCCCTAACAGACTGGTAGGAGTCACAAGATAACATTTTCCTTTATTAATGCATCTGTAAGGACACATCTTTGCAACTTCTGGCCCAAGGGGTTGAAGACATTTGGTGTGAAATACGTGACCTTGGAATCTAATAAGCCTGCAGAACCTTGATATTAAGTAACGGGATTAGACTTACCGCACGGAATGGCTTGTAGAGGCTTGTGTAGGCTATCTTCTTGGCAGACGGCGCAGGCCAACTCGTAGATCTTCCGAACCTGCTGGCCTCCATGGCGCCAGTGGTTTCGCTTAGAACAGTACACCTCGACGGTCCCGTTGTATTCTTGGTAGTTCTTGCAGCATGTCGGGCAAATGACCTGAGCATGTGTTTAGTCGAGCCTTGAATCCGGGCGTGGGAAACGAACGCATGAGCAACCAGAAAGCAAGATATTCTCTTGGAGGGGTGCATGACACCAAGAGCAAAAGTACAAAAGCTCGTCGCCCAAGACCTCGACCCCGACCTCGACCCCGACCTCGTCCTCGCTTTCGTTGGTAAGGTCAATGATAGTCATCTTCGAGTTCGGTTTTAAGTTGTCGATGATAAGAAGAAGAAAAACGCATGAAGTTGTGT